CGGGCAACCGCCATCGCCGCCGCCTCCCGCTGCCGGCGCCTGGCGATGGCGCAGCTAAACCCCGCCCCGGCCTGGGGGAGCGCCCGGGCGACAGCGGGGAAGGCGTCGTCCGGCCCCGGCGGACTTGGGCTGGGCTGTGCGGGATCCTCAACCTGGCGGGGCCTCGAGAGCCCGCGGGGCGGCAGTGCGCAAGTCCCGCTCGCCGCGTGCGGGCAGAGGCCCGGCCCGGCCCCGGCAGCACAAGGCGAAACTGAGCCGCCTTTACCCCGGGCCCAGCCCGACAAGACTGAGAGCCGCAGTGCCGGACCGCGGTGAAGAAGAGCACGGCCCCGCCGCGCTAAGGGGTCTCACGCAGCTGCGAATTAATGGGGGGGGGTGTGGGTGCTGGGGACTGCCCCCCCCGTAAGACTTGAAAATCATAACAGGGGTCTCCGGTGGGATTGCTTCTCTCCACGTAGGTAGATTTTTTTCTTTTGCTGACCCTCCTCAAGAGTCCAAGTGTAATTTGAACCCTGGTCTCAAGTAGGGTGGCCATCATAGAGGACAGTCCCGTTGTCCTCTGTCCTCTATTGATACGAAACCTGACGCCTTTATGTCCTCTGTTTCCCTTCAAGATAAAATATATCTGGAAGAGAAAAATAGAGGACATAAAGGCATCAGGTTTCGTATCAACAGAGGACAGAGTAGCAGAAAACAGGAATGTGATGGCCCCCCTAGACCTCACTTGATCCCCCTGCACTGATATATGAGGTTGTGAGTGCGCCAGAATGCAGGGCTCGGGCCCAAGCGTGCAGCTGCAGTCAGGAGGGGCGCAGGGCACCCCAGGAGCATCTGCTTCTCCACCCATCAGCATGGAGCCTATCCTCTATCCTAGATCCCCTCCAGACCGCCTCTGTACTTGCAGTGGGCTCCTGCCCCAGGTCATTCTCACTCTGTTGTGATACAGAATAAGGATAAAAATTTGACCCATATTTCAAGGGGCAACCTCCCTTTTGATACTCAATGCTTGTTCTACTTAGAAAACTAGTAGCCAGTGTTGCTTCGGAATAGTTAATGTGAACAAAACTTAGGACGTGCTGCAGGCAATGTCTGCTTGGTTTTTTGTTTTGTTTTTTTTCATTAGGAAGAAGATCTGTATGAAAGAGACATCATCCTGTAGCAGCTGCAGTTGAGTTTCCTGCTTTATCCTTTGTAACCTCTGGAGGAGTTAGGACATATTAGACTAGGTAGAAAAAGGATTTTACTGTTATGGCAATTCCTGTGTCCTAGCATAAAGTGGTATAAGTTTGTAGTCATGTTGGTCTAATGACATAGGCTGACAAGGTTCTTTGGGTAAACTCGATATCTTTTATTAGACCAACTAAAATAGTTGGAAAAATTATCTGCAAGCTTTCAGGTACAAACAGCTCTCATCAGGCTGAGGAAATGTCTCCAGTTGGTTTGTGCTCTTCCTGGATGGAACAGAATCCAGGAAGAGCAGAGATGAACTGCAGATGCTTCCTCAGCCTGACAAAGGGTGTTTGTACCCAAAAGCTTGCAAAGAAGAATTTTTCTCAACTATTTAGTTGGTCTAATAAAAGATACCGGATTTATCCACAATCTGTGAAAGATTATTGGATGGTGACATCCCTTAATAAATTGGGCACATATCTTTCTTGGAGATGCTCTTTATTGCCGTAAAAGGCAGGTTAATCACAAGATACCGGGAATCATGAAAGACCTATGGGACGCCCATATTTCCACAACGTGGAATCATAGAGGATACACAGCAGTATAGCAAACTTGACAAGGGGCTCTATGGTCTGGAAAGATTAAGAACCTCCCTTTTAAGTAATGCCACCAAAATTAACGTGTGATTTTACTGCTATTCTTGAAAGGCTTAATAAAAACCGCAAATCTCTATAAAATTCCACTCCTGGTTTTTCAATAGCTCTATCAAGTGGGACAACACAATGTTTCATTTTCATGCAAATTAATAAAGGTTTCCTTTAAGGACGTACAGGAAAATGTTTCAAAGACTCTAAATTTGTAGTCAAATTTGATACAACCATGATTGCAATATAATTGATTTTTTTGGATTAAATTAGATGTCTTATTCTTCTCCCCACCCTATTCAATTAAGGGCATCCTCCTGTGTCTAGAACAACTCACTGCCAAATGGATTACTAAATTGTTGAGTTGATTTATGCTGTATAGGAAATAAGCAACTAAAAAGAGTGTATCATTCTATAAAGATTACATGAACTTTCAAGGCTGATAGAGTCCAATGTTTCTGTTGTAATGTCTTAACCTCTACGTAGCTATATATAGTCCTAATAAGATAATTAACTGGTAACATAGGCCCAGCCCTGAAAACTTTCACTCGTATGAATAAGTCAATTGAGCCATAATTTAAATTGAAATCACTTTAAAAAGGGTCATATAAAACTTAGCGGCCCCTCCCCCACCCCATAACCGGCGCCCTGCGCTGCAGTCAGTCTCAGCCCGCCTGGGGCTGCCTGTGCCTGCTCAGAACAGCCCTGCACAGGCTGCAAGCAGCCGCAGCAGGGAGCGTGGGCCACAGGGTGGGCAAGGGGCCACTTTTCTCCACACTCCTTCCCTGCCCTTCCTCCCCACCCCCCTTACCTGAGGTTCTGACGCGGTCCCAGGCCAGAAGCCCTAGCAAGGGCAAGGCCAGGCGGGCCCTTGCGGAAGCCCAGCAGGCTTCCCCTGGGTCCTACTGCCCCTGGTTCCTGTCATTTTTTACAGGAACCAAAGACAGAGAAATATTAATTGTCTAAATTTTTTAGGGGCCCCACGGGTTGGATACAATGGCCTTGCAGGCCGAATCCAGCCTGCAGGCTGTATTTTGCCCACCCCTGCCATAAACTCAAATCACCTTTGTTTTGAAAAGTAAATATTTGCAGGGGCAATCACTAAAGCATTTAGATCAGCACAGTAGCCATCACAGGGCACAAGGAAATGCAATCTGAAGTAGGCAGGTTGTCAGACCATTTAGACCAGGTCAAATATTGGACAATATGACTGATGTTGTATAAGAATGAACTACTAATAATCTAAACTATGAAAAAAATTGAATTGGGGTTTTTTGCTATATATATTAAAGTATATTAAACAGTGTTGTGCTTATCTAAGAAGTAGTTCTGGGAAGCACTGTGCTTCAGTCAGGAGCTATGTCTTTTGGAGTTCCTAGGAAGTGAAGACCCTGCAGCAGTTCCCAACAGGGTGCCCATGGGCACCATGGATAAAACTTCAAAATAATACAAAGTAAAAGGAAGCTGCATTTTGAAGTTGTGGATCTAATGCAATTTTAAGTAATGGATGAGATGATTGGATTGATCTAAATTCTAAACTTTAATATTCGTATTGGCGCCCACTGCTTTTAAATTCAAATGTGCACATAACCATTGGGAACCCCTGCCCTAGGGGATTCTCTCTTAGAGAATAAGTTGTCTGTGCCTACCCATCTGTGTCTAGTCTATTGTATTGGCCAGTAGGAAGGACGTGTTGTACTATTGTTTTCCCTTTGTTCCTTACTGCCTTGAACTGTGTCAGTTCTTATGCTCAGGAGAAAACAAGAATTATGGTTGTATCTGGCTGGTTGTGTGTACAGGGAAGGTTTAGTTTAGATCTGATACCTTAATTTCATTTCATTTTTGATGAGTGGCATTAGAAAACATGCATAGTGAATGTGAATGGGTATGATGCACATGTGAAACCATTGCTTTAACACCTCTCTATCTTAATTGCTAATTACCCAATGACTGCTAAAATTAATCAACAATGAGACATGCATACAGACAAAGAGACTGTAACAAGAAAATATTCCTCAGCACATTTTTTGCCAATTAATAAAACAGCTACGTAATTTTGGCATATTATATCACTATTCCTCTAATTTATTTCATTCAATAGAATGTCTCATTTTAAATATTTGTCTACTTTGCTAAGATATCAACTGTTATTGGCTTCAGCCAACAGAGAAATTTTGTCCAATGTATCTTTGCATAATATATACTATGGTTTCAAATATCTATGAAGAACAAAGAGATGTTTCCTTCTAATTTAATTCACAGATTTATTTTATTTGAAAAGCAAACATTTTGCTTGTAATGCACTGCTATAC